GACGTACAGCAGGGGCAGATCCTTAGCGAGAACACTCCGCATGCATATTTTCGAGTTTTTGCAAATGTATGGCGTAGAGTATAGTGCGCGTGGCTAATATTTAACAAAATACCGGTAAAGAATGTTCATCAGCGCAGTGTTTCGGTGAAGTACATAAAGTGAATGTTCTATTATACACGAGGCGAAGCCAAGTGGAATAACACGTTCAATCATGTCACAGCATAAAATTAGTCATTTCACAGCACGAATGTGAAACATTTATTTATTTGTTTATTATTTACCACGCCCAGTGGATTGGAACGTTCTATGTTTTCTTTGGGAACACGCCGTGCGTTCGTCCCGGGGTTAATTAAGCTCAACGAATTCATTGTCACGTGATCAGTGACTCGCTAATCGGATGCTGGGATTTTGTTTAAGGTGTCTAACAAATGGAAAGTGGTGTGATCTGGGTGGCGTATCTAGTCTTTGCGACTGCTTAGCTCCAGAGGGTTGCGGGTGTAAAACATATAGTTTTACCCTCTAGAAAAAAAGACACCAGTCCAAACAAAGAACTTTGCTTAACATGGTGCGCGTGCCACAGACGCTAAGGGTTCAGTGAACTTGTTCTGCTGACTCGAATGAATTAATGAAATGAGCCCTGTATGCTTGTGCGCGAGATTTTGTTCCTTGTGGAATGTGTTAGCTCTGGAAAGTCACGATGAAAAAAATTAACTGCGCAAAAGCTGATCTTTTTTTTTTTCGTGCATGGGAGCGAGGTTCTTATTTCCCAAGTCCCTGTCAAACAAAATTCGAATGAGCCATTCACGGATAGCAGCATGCTTTGTTGAAAGAAGGAGCGAAAGCAGTTTAACAGCAAATTAGTGTACGCTTTTCCGGGCAGCCCGCCCACTATATTGGTTGTAATTCTCCAGGGTTGATGTGCTCTTTCGCTGACGCTTTATTCTCCTGGATCCCCAAGCCGTCTCTGCGGTCTCACCGCTAGGAAAATACAAGCCCCTGTTATTGTAGGGGTAGATCATTCCCGAACTCGTCCTTAGCTGAAACAACATCTTAAGGTGAACTGGTCATGGGAAATATCAAGCGTACAGTAGCAGTGGATGACAGCGTAATCCATTAAAAATGTTATCAGTAGCTAACCTTGTCCTTGGTATATTAGTCCATAAGTGAAAAATAAACAGAGAAGGAATTTGGCCATTTTTTTATTACAAAAATATTGTGAACTAAATGGTGATGAAGTCTAACATACTGCCACGATTTACTGGGTTGGCAGAACTGACATTGAAATGCTGATACCGCAATCGTCAAAGGATAAGCACTTCTTCAACGCTTTCACTTCCTTTTACAAGTACACTGCTCTAGTTTTTGAGTGGAAAGAAATGGTATCGCTACACTTTGCAGGAGAACGTGCGGCGCAGATTGCCCCAGAAAAATATTGTTCGATGAACACGTGAAAACAAACCAAAAATCAAAATCCCACAGATTATGATATTGACAGTGAAGCAACTCATGAAATCCGTTTGTACCTGCTCGAAGTTCGAACAGTAGCCGGTTTTTGGCTTCGTCACAAAGGTGGACGCGCCACGATTTGCAGGCTACCATTGGACGATCACTGAAGTTGCGCGTTGACTTCCGGTTCCATGTAAACGGCGATCAATACACCTCTTCACTATTCAGTACGTGTTTTTACAAACGCACAGGTTGGCTCCAAGAACGCTAAGGATGTAGTTTATACTACTTGTGATGGAAGGGGGCCATACTAAGAAACAACGATCTCTATCTCGTGCGCACAGGAAAAATTACGACTTTAAAATCTTTTTACAGAGCACTAAAAATCAATTCGAAGCTAATAGCGAAAACGGTTCAATGGGGTTTTCTGAAGAAAAAACCTGAACAAAGTCAGAAAACCTGAGAGAAAATGACCATCGAAGTCGCACTCGTGTACATTTTCAATGGCCAACTCACACTTCTTGCTTCCAAAGCCATTTGTGCGCTTGCGCGCATAATTATGAGTTCATTAGTGTTGAGGTCTATGCATGCAACTCTATGTGCAGTGCATGTGCAGTGGGAGTGGTTTAAACTGAAGGGACATCACACGTACGAACTGGATTCCTGTCTGAGTTAAACAGTCCAGACTTTGAAGACCATCAACTCGATACAGGCCAGGATGGAAGCAGGGCCCTGGACATTTTCTGAAAACCACCAACTCTTTGTTTACTTGGCAAGTCTTTTGAAGACTTTAGAGTGACATCTTGTGCAGGTCTTGACACAAACTTTGTCCGAATACCGGAAGTACGCTAGCGTTTATCGCAAATTGGACCTTTAACGCTGAATACCGAAACACAAGTCTACCTTTTCGTTGTTCATCGATCAGGAAATCATTGATTTCAGTGGATTGAATGGAAATACGGGCGTTTCGTAATAGTGCGCCTCCAAGAGTTTGCAACGCGTTGGCTAATCACAATGCACGAAATCTGTCAACCCTTTCCAAACGCGCATTGGGTCAACAGATTTTGCGCGTTGTGATTGGTCGACGCGTTGTAAACTCTTGGAGGCCCACTATTGTGAATCGCCCGTACGTATTATGGCCATGGATACTAGTATCTGTTTTGCTTTGCAGATGTACAGCACATTAATCTCTATGAAGTCAGTGTAGGTTTCAATCTCATCAAGAACTCTAAAGGCAAGATTTGGAGCAGGATGCCGAACCTGCCCACAAATGAAAAGCTGAACAGTAAACCCAACTGCAAAGATGGAAATACTGCCCAACTGTTTACAAAAAAAATATGCTGCGGGAGTAGTTTCAGATTAATGACTTGATTCTGATCTTTCTAGCCCGGTCCAACCTCTAGTGCGAGGGCGATGGATTCATTCAATTACAGTGTGAGCAAAAGAGCAGCGAAGATGCTTGGGAGAACGCTGTATAGCGGACGTGATTGGCACGGCTTCGTAGAGATCTTACTCGGGATCAGAAGTCCGGCTAACACAAAAATTGAAAGGAGCCCGGAGTATACCGCAATTACATTTACACTATCGACGATGACATACGGGGATTAGGCAGGGATTTGCGAACATACTCCGCTCTCCGCATTGGCTGAGAGAAATGATACCCGAAGCCCAGTCTAGTTTTTTTTTATTCTCTCCCTACATCCTTCTTTTTTCTTTTTTTTTCTTTTTTTTTGCACTGCATATGATGGTTGTGAAACAAAGGAGATATATTCGTAATGAAGAAAAATGCGGAGCATGGAACTGACCAGGGCGGGGATTATGACTCTGAAATAATTAAATTCACCCATGCAAAGAGAGAAAAGAAAAATTTGGGAACAGGAATGGAGCTCACCATACTATTTGTATTTTTGCACATTCTATTCAATAAGTGCTACAATTATTACACTAAACAAAGATATTACATTCGTCGATTCGGTACAATCAATCTTGGATGCTGTGACTTACAGCCATTCGAGGATTTTTAAATCTTCACCGATTTTCAGAGTGTGTATAGTCAAGATGGTAGCCTTATACTGGCTTCCATGTGGTATCTGTTGAAGAATTGTCTCCAAAGTTAACATCGAGGGTGCCCAGAAGGGCCGGACAATGTGAACAGCTATTCATGTTTTGTCGGTTGACATTAATTATCACCAGTTAGCACAAGACCAAGCAGGTCGATTCTATAAGGCATGGGTGTAGAGAAAAATCGACAATTGATTGACTAATGGTCACTGATCACGCTTGGTCTCATTTTCTGCATGGCAGGGTCTGGAAGATGATCCGTTTTGTCTCCATGATTAAATGCATTTTTATGTGGGCCCAAACTCGTTGTTACATTGGCATCAATCAATTTGGGCCATCGTTTCGCTGACGACGCCAAGCAATTCGATCTGTCATGAGAGAATTCCTCTCCGCACATTTTTTTTACAACCTTAGGGAGTCATTTTAATGAGTGGCCACGGGTTGGAGAAAAAAGAGGTCAGTCACGCATGGCAGTGATTCGACGATGTTTGTTGACGTCTGGGCTCCCCACTGGCACCCAGTCACGGTGGCATCCACCCAACACCTTGCGTCCTTTCTTTAAAAGCTGGCATATTAACCCATAACTTTACCTTGGGCCATCAATAACATACATTAAATCATTTTATCTGAAAACAAAAACGAGAAGAAGAAATACCAGTGCAATGTGGATGTGTATTATATTTCCAGATTATTACTTAAGGGCTTGCCTTCGTCGTCTAACAATCCCGTTGATGGGTTTGTCGCGTGACATTGTACTCAAGGGGCGCATGCTGAAACACTAACCAGTGTTTTGGGGTGATTTGTTGCTGTAAGCAGTGGAGGAAGTCGCAGGCTTACGTCCCGCTATCTGGGCTAATAACGGCGTCGACAGTGGCAATACCACGCCGTCGCGTGCACTCAGATAAATAGGTCATCATTAGCAGAGGAAAAATCCCGATGAATATCAGGGAGGAAGATGAGTTATGGGGGTTGGGGAATGCTCGACCTGCCTGAGGTGACTCCGCATATCCGACCTAAAATGGTGCGCAAGTAGACCTGATCTCTAACTCCTTGCTTTTGTTCTCGGTTTCACACGTACACAAAAGAAATTATGAAAAGTTCACTTGAATTCGGGTTTCCGTTCTCGCTATTTCCTCCCCCGTTATCTCCAACTAGATTAGATGATCTCTGCTTGGCATTGTTAGAACAAAACTAGGTTAAAATATTCCCCCATCGGTTACGTACACTTCTAAAATAGTTGAAGCCGGTGGTGGGTTTAACTTGGCAGTGAAGTATAGATCTGCGTACATTGTCAAGCCAGACATTAATTTCCTGCCCAGCGGACCACGTGTTCTGTGCATTTTGCTTTATTGATCTTGCGTTCAATAGATATACATCTCGCTCGTGTCTATGGTCTTTGTTTTCATGGAAGTGCTGGAAAGAATGTTCATATTTCTTCCATAAATTTCAAAATTGATTCAGTTTGTTTTCCGGTTTTTTTCCTGTTTCACCAGAGGTGGTGTTGGTGGGTTTTTTGCTTCTTGGTGCAACTCTTGCTGCCGTGGAACTGTGACCAACTCAAAATGACGGAAGTCAACTACGCGGAGCTCTCAACAGACTTGACAACAGAGGGCGCCATGACAAGAACCCTACCCGAGAGCGAAGATGACGGGGCCACAGCACGTGGACACAATGCGGGCGCTAGGATTACTGTCCTCTTTGTGCTGTTCTTTCTGGGCGTTATCGGGAACTCATTGGCTCTGCTCTGGATATGGAAGAACCGTAAGCGGCGGTCCCGCGTGAACAACATCGTGCTCGGGCTGGCCACCGCCGACTTCTGCGTCTGCATTTTCACCATGCTAGTGTCGGTCATCTACGAGCTTCAAAACTATCATTGGTACGCGGGCAACGTGGGGTGCAAGATCATCATGGCACTACAGACTGCCTCTCTGATGGCATCCAGCTATATGCTGGTCATCATGGCCTTGGACCGGCACCAGGCCATCCGTGCCCCCCTCAAGGAAGGTTTTTCGGTCAAGAAGATGACCATCTTGGCCTGGGGGCTGGCGTTGGGCCTCTCCATTCCTCAGATGATTGTTTGGCAGATCAAGAACAAAGGCTTCGACTCTTGCCTGACCAACCTGAAGGAAACCCCACAATGGCGCCTGGTATACTTGATCTTCGGAGGTCTGTTCATGTTCTTCATTCCGTTCGTCATCATCACCGTGGCCTACATCCGCCTCTCGAAGAAGATCTGGGACAAGGCCCGGGAGACCTCGGGCAAAGCCCGCAACAGCTCCAAGAAGAAGAAGATATACATGCAGAGCACAGGATCGTCTTCACTCAACCGCGCCAAGATCAAGACCTTGAAAATGAGCGTTGTCATCATCGTCTTGTTTGTGCTGTGCGGGCTGCCGTACTTCGTGGTCGAGATGATCCAGAGTTACCTGCTGCACGTGGAAAGCAGTTTGAATCCCGACGTGCTCGGCGTATTCGGCATCTTCGCAGTCTCCAACTCCGCGGTCAACCCCTACGTGTTCCTGTTTTTCAACAAGCGCACCAAGTGCATGAAGTTGATACGGTTGGGCTCGCCCAGCGCCCCGTCGAAGAAGAAGCGGCGCCTGGGGTCTCGCGGGGCATCTTCGTCCAGCTACTGTCCGGACGAGACAACAAAGACCATGCTTGAGACGAAAGCAGCAACAAGGGGAGACCTGAACAGTTACTATCCTCTAGATTCCCGGTACAACGATCGCCACAATAACGACATCCGTATGGACCCGATTCGTGAGGATAGTAAGAATGCGTTGGCCACGCGTTGCGATCTCAATAGAAATGTGTAAACCTACTAACCGTCGAAACTTTAATTTCTCGAAAGAGGGAAAAAATCATAAAAGCCTGAAGAGCTATCGTCAAGTGTTCCTTATAAGTTAATAAAATATCTTACTCTATCAAATACCTTGGAAAGTAAATTCTGCACTTGTGTCAATTTTTCTTCTTTCTTTTGTAGACTTTTGCGACCTTACAGAATTTGTTGTTGCGCTTTTTAATCATTTCTGGTAATGACACCAAGGATTCCTCAAAAGCGCTCTTGGCACCGTAGCTCGCAAGCCTGAAGAAACCCTTGCAGAGAGAAGGCATTAACTGACGAACGTGACGTTCTAAACTGTTTTTAACAGTCAATCAGAGGAATACAAAGGAAACTGGCTGACACGCGCTGGCCGCCGTAATTGTATGAAGGCCACATTTTGCAAAATGAGTTTGCCTGCAGTTGAAAAATGTATCCCCCCCCAAAAAAATGTACAGTATTGTTTAAGAAAGATATAATTATACCAATTTAGTATTTAGTGTTATATAAAATAGGTATCTACACATTTTAAAATTTTATGGAATTGTCGTTCTTGTTTTCACACCGACGGTCAAACACATTGGCACGGCAAAAAACAGCCAGGCTTCGGGCACACCAATGGCAGACCTTATCCCTAAGGTTTCACTTCATGCTGCTTTCGAAGTCGGCTGATTCATTTCAGGAAGGGGGGCACGTTTGGACAACTAGACAAGCAAATGCAGCTGTAAACGGACGGATGTGCTCGGCACCCGCTCAAAAAGAAAACCCATTTTCTGCAAACCTTGATCCCGCCACCCGTATAGGAGCATTGGCGTCGATCGCTCCTCGGGTCGACGGAGAGAGTACATTGATAGGCAAAGGCGAACATACTTAAGTTCCTTTTTAAATCAGGTTTGTTCTTCAAAAACATTGGGAGACATGTGTTAAGGGCTCCGTCGATTGACATCCATGCTTGGGGGAAAATTAAAAGGACAGAAAATCGTATGCTTAATATCTTCAATTTTGAACTTTTGAATTCTGCTCAGTAAAGAAAAACAAATTTGAGGAATTGAAATGATTTGAAAGGATGCATTCTGTATGCAGTATAACTCTCAAAATTTAAAGGCGATTGATTTGATGTTTCCAAATCCTCCGATATTTCTTCTTTAATATTATGCTTCTTGGTGAGAGGAGACCACTGCCTCAATTCTTCGAAATCGACTGGCAAAACCCTTTTAATACCGGTACGTTGAGGCATTGTGAATTGTATCCTGGAATGGAATGGTTGATTTCACGCAGATTCTTGGCTCAAATTCATGCATGGCCGAGCATGAACAGAACACGGTGAAACAATTGAAACAATGCATCCTTCGAAATCAACGATGCAGTTTTGCCCTACCGCATCTCAATCCTCCAAAGTCCTCCAAAACTGCCCAGAGAATTTTGGATGATTGAGGACGGGGTTAAACAGAATGGTATGTAGCAGTGTTGTAACGAGCCACTAAGTTTTGTGACTCGATTCGAATTGAGTCATTGTAACGCAGTGACTGGGGTAGCAATACATGGTAGGACAGTGTCTTTTAATCTCTACTTTGAACTGAGACAGTGTTTGCCTGTGGGCCAAGCACCATCAAACGTAACGTGGTCTTTTGAAGCGTGCAATACTGCATGTACTGTGCGCAATGTACACTGTACATGTCAGCGTTCTGGTGATGACGTCATACAACCAGCCTGGGAGTGCGAACGGCGAAGAGGGGATTTTACGTGGGCTGGGAAACGCAGGATCTTTTTATTCATGTTGGGGTCACAATCAATGGGGTAAACATTAAATTTACGATGTTTTTGAAGTGGCTACGTATTTATTGCTTTTTTGAATACTTCAAGTGAACTAAATATTTTCTATTTCCGTTACCCTTTAAACACTGAGATGTTCGGCAAGGCTACAATAATATTTCTTTACATAAGACCACTGTCTAATAACGAAACTCTGCAAAAATTGTCCAGTTCATGGTGACGTCTTTCATTGTAAATATTGTAAAAAAAACCAAGCCGACAGAAAGAAAGCTAACATTACTTGTATATACTTATGCGTAGTTACGAGATAACGCCTCACTGAAGATTTATCTTGCTATTTTTAAGAAATATATCGATATCCTGGATATATGTTTTGTAACGACGATGTAGAAATATAACACATTGAATGCAGATCGTTATGTATAGCGTAATTTGAGTTTCATGTATACTTGTTCGTATACTATTGGTGTCAAATTCCATTATAATTTTGAAATAAATACAGAATGTTCGCTAACGAAACTGCATTATCTAGCCCATCTAAATTGAACAGTCCTGTATCCATGCCCTTTTGCAAGTGAAATTCAGCGTAAAGCTTATTCTGGTTCCTGGATCAAAAGATGCTGGCAATTCTGGAGAAATATGTCATACATACATACCCGCCACACGTGAACGAGTTTTACCCGGCTACGTTTCTGTCAACATTTGGGCATCGTTGGCAATGTCACTGGAATGAGGAGTGTGTAAATCGTCTTCAATAAATTATTATTCCACATGTCACACCGTGTATTTGCATACCAACTTTCACATTTACACATGTAGGCCTATAACTCTTCATGTTATCGTTAAAAAGAGTCATAATGCTTATGTATATGTAGGCCGAATGGCTGTTGGAATCTCATGAAACTTTTTACCGCAAGCAATGTCAATCCATAAAAGCTCGCAGTTTATTCTCCCCAGCAGCAGAGGCATCATTGAGTTATTTAATTAACCCATTGATCGTATGGGTATAGCCGCTCTATGGAGCTCAAACTGAGCTGTAGGTTGTTGCTTTTTTAACTTTACGGTGAATGGAGCCTACCAAACCATGTTCATCGAGTTCACGATAAAAAGGGTCAAATTTTCTTTTCTTTTTCAGCAAATTTTTCAACATAAACTATCAGAAGGCCTACCTGTGCACATTAAACAATCACACACTGACCTTTAAATCGGGCTGTATTTGCCGCTTAGGCTGAGTTCGGGCGGCTTGTTCTCGTTTGTTCGCGAACAGCTTGATTTGTTGTTCGTGTGTCGGTCGCTCGAATGTCGGGAATGTACAACCGGTTATTACCGCTAGTAGTTGTCTGTGGCAAGCAACATGCAACATGGCACCGTCCTTGTCCATTCTTCGAGAGTTAATGTTGGATAACTGGGCTAATTTCTTTTCCATTTAAAAATTCATTTCTGTCATGGAAAAATATTAATGTTAATTTTGCAAAACTTTCTATTGTCTTCGGCTTTCTAAAGCCATATCGATATTTTTGCGGCTGTCCAAAAATCAAATCTCACGAGTTTTCCCTTGTGTTCGTGTAAACTCCTGACGAGGAGGTGGTGTGTGATCCTGTTCCGAGAACAGTGTTCTTGGGTCGTGTTCCCGCCGTTCGAGCGCGGCGGGAACACGTTCTTGACACGAAGCCCGTGTCAAGAACGGACCGCCCGAATTCGACCTATAGCATTAGCGAAGGTGGAGTTTTGTTTGACGGCAACCACCAAACTATAGAGGGCGCTGTATTAAAAGCACTCTTGTGACGTCACTCTATTCAGAAAAGTGGTGATTATTCTTTCTCTGAAATAGATGACGAATCAAAATTTCCTCGATTGACATAGAAATTGTGCCACCAGATTATTACAACGCCAAAAACAGACGTGTCAGATGTCCTAAGAGTAGATGTTCTCTCTGTATTTTTCGATTTGTCGCGTTCAGATTTTCTGTTTCATATTTGGTGGCGATTAAAAAGATTTGCATTTCAAATGAATCACCCCCCTTCAATTGTTTTATATTATTATGTGTCTCGATCATTCTATACATACATTTTTTTTTATTCTATTATTCTATTTGTAACGCAATTTTATTATTTATCTTTGCGGTTTTCTTTTTAAAATGGGCATGGATAACGATTATCGCTAAATTTCACTCAGCGTTTATGTTTACGTCTAAAGGCCGGTTCATACTTACCGGGCGAATGTGAAAGCGAAACGAATTCGATGTCACAAAATATTTCCTGCAAAATTTCTCTCCACGCTGTTGAAATGTGAACAACTTTTGCGAAGTCGCAGTGCAAACATTTGATCTGACGTCACAAATACACGGTTATGTTCATATTCACTCTATTTAGTAGAACTAAGTAGAATCTTAATCTTGGCCGATTTACTTTCACTTCAATCTCAGTTTGAACTCTTCGTCTGTCGTTTGAGTAGGCCCTACATCTTAGACAACTCTAGTGATGATAGTTTTAATGTATATTTTTACAGAATGGTTCATCGCTATAAACTTACCTATCAATAATTCTCAAGCGATGTTTCCATAAGCATGCATTTTCCAAACGAAATAATTTCCTGCGGTGACCGACGGACTTCGGTGTGCAACCACGTGAATCCAAGGGTTTTTTTTTAGTAAACGTGGTCGTCGTTTGGAGAGACAGTGATTCCTCCACGGAACGCTTGGCTCGTGTTTCTCTCACACTGACCTGGATCACTATCAGCGATCTGTCTTGGTAATACGAGCACCAAATACCGACCAGTATTAGGATCACTGATCGAGATCCAGATCAGCTTGAATCTCACTCGTCCTAAAAACCCCACAGGGTGCTGGGTAGGCCAGTTTGCCTCTCACAAAATGTTGTTGAGGAAATACATTACGGCTGTAGACGTGCGAAGTATTGCAGGTTGCGCACTGTCCAACTTATACCCAGCAAGAAATGAGACCTAGGGGTACCCCCAACATGTCCAATCCCTATGCACATTCCAGACTATTGTTACTTAACACCCCCCCCCAAGATGTGTGAAAGGAATTCCCCAGATTCCTGCGAGACAATGACCAACACAAAGCAGGGGGGGTTCTCTCCGTCTCATACCTTGCTGCATATGGTCCACCTCCATGCATGTACAATTTGTATCACGTGTTTTTTCTCAGCTTTGAATGTAGCCGCACCTCTCCATCCAAAATAGGTCCGCAATTTGGGGCTTTTTGTGAAAGAAATACCCCGAACTGGAAACTATCAGTTCCAAAGTCGGGATTTATAGAAATATTTCTATGATCCCTCTTGATTATAGCATGCCTTATTGTAAAAAACAAAAACCGTGGGATCAGAAAATATTAATGAGCTCGCGCGCAGAAATATAACAGTTTGGTAGATTGCACCCTTCAGCGCCCGAACACTATGGGAAGGGCTGGTGGCCTTGCATTTCAGTGAAGGAAATACGTCACACAGGGTCACAGCTAACGACGCACAGAGCATTGTCGAATTGCCAGGAGCGCGAGTTCGCTCAATGTGGCGGTTATCAGTTCGATATTTTTTTTATTTTTCTTTCTCATTCCTGAACATTCTCACTGCACTTTATTAGTTTATCCAGAATTCGGGCGTTTTACAATAGTGCGCTTCCAAGGGTTTGCACTGCGTTGACCAATTACAATGCACAAAATCTGTCGACCCAGTGTGCGTGCGTTTGGAAAGGGTCGACAGATTTCGCGTGTTGTGATTGGCCAAAGCCCTGCAGCTGCACACTCTTGGAGGCGCACTATTGTGAATCGCACGAATTGATCAAGATAACCATTGATTTCAAATACATTGCAAAAGACAAGTGATCAGTGATACTCAGTAGGAAGATAAATTACCATGAATGTACGAAGGCGTTTTTATGATAGTCAGTGCCAAAGCATAGCCATCAGCGAAACGGAACTTAAATAGCGCTTCACTAACAGGAAGTGATAAGCTCGCAGTCGGAGATCGTGCGCAAAATGGCCTTGAGGGAAAGAAGCGTGAGCAGGCCATTGACTCTAAGAAGTACGGTGCACTAACAATACACGCTCGCGGTTAGTGCAGTGTTTCTGTTAGACGTTCGTAGCGTGAAAACGTGCAGGGGTACGATTTCGATCATTTTCTCTCAGGTTTTCTGGCTTTGTTCGTTTTTTCTTCAGAAAACCCCATTAAATCGTTTTTTGCTATAAACCAGCATGAAAGGAGACCAGCTTAGATACGGAAATCTCGTGCGCACAGGAAAAATCACGACTGTAGAGTCTTTTTACAGAGCACTAAATCCCGCAAAGATCAGAAACTAAAACTTCACTCATTATGAGTAAGACGCTGGCAACGTTTCCCATGTGAGTATAGTCCAATTCTGTGGGCGCAGGTTCTTCCGCAAAAGCGGCACTTGGGAAGGTGTCCTCCCTGTTGGTAGCTGGTAGGGTCGGTCCTGCTGGCTCGGGGGGAGACTGCGCTCAAAGCTTTCGATTTCCAGTCGGTTTTCCACTTCCCTAGCAGCATTGGTTGGGCCTAATTCAGCGTCGCCACTCTGAGCGGTTATTGGCAGCAACCTCCTATGTGGCAGAGTCACTATTGCCGGCTAAAAGGTGGCGTTTGATACGGTCTCTGTAGCGTAGCTTTGGCCTGCCAACTCCTCCTCTGCCTTCCCTCAGCTCACCGTAGAGAACGGGTTTCGGAAGTCTAACGGCATCCATCCGGATGTCGTGTCCAGTCCACCGCAGTTGACTTGGGGATCTTATCTTTCAAGCTGATGTTTAACAGTTGTCTTAGGTGCGCCATCAGCACTCGTTGAAGTCGATGAATGTGTCGTCTGTACAGTGTGTAGGTTTCGGAGGAGTAGAGAAGGCAGCTCAGAACAACAGCTCGATTTACATTTTGCATTTGGTGGCGAGTCGGGGACTCGGACGTTTCCACACACGTGTTTGGAGTTTTCCAAACGCAGTGGCTGCAGAGCTGACTCTCTTCTCCACTTCTGTATCAAGGCTGTTTTGTCAGACACTGTGCTGCCAAGGTAGGTAAAATGCTTCACAACTTCGAGACGTTTGTTGTTCCACATAATCTTTGGATCTGGTGCTTTTAAGCCCGGAGCTGGTTGGAAGATTACCTCTATTTTGCTTACGTTGATGGCAAGGCCAAGGCTGCTGCACTGCAGTTCTGCCTCTGAGTGTGAGACGATGGCTGAGTCATCAGCATAAAGGAGTAATCTGGCACAGACGGTCGTGGTTTTGGTTGCAGCCTTTAGCCGCCTCAGATTGAACAGTTGACCATCACTGCGGGTTGTAAGGTAAACTCCACCATCCGAAGGGCAAAGCTCTATAACTGCAGCAAGGTAGAGAGCGCATCCCTGCCTGGCTCCCTGCCTGATTATGAACTTTTCGGAGAGGGAGCCAGCCGACGACACATGGGCCATCATTCCGTTGTGTAGCTGGAAAATGAGACTGATGATACCTGGGGGACAGCTATAACGTTGTAGGAGAGCCCGTCGACAATCTCTGTTCACCTTGTCGAAAGCTTTCTTAAAATCGATGAAGACCATGTACAAGGGCATGTTCTGCTCCATGGCCTTCTCTTGCAACGGATGTAGGGTGAATATTATGTCAGTGGTTGACCTGGAGCTGCGGAAGCCACCGTTGTGACTCAGGCAGGTTGTCATCCAGAATGAGTTTTATCCGCTTAAGGATGACCTATCCTTGTATTTTTCCTGCTAGGGCAAGCCGGAAGATGCCACGGTAATTGCCGCACTCTTGCCCAGTTGCCCTTTTTCTTGTAGATGGGAATGACTATGGCATCTTTGAAATCCTGTTGGAGCTTCTTCTTGGTCCAGATGGCCGACAACACATCGAAAAGCCCTTGTAGAATGTGATCTCCTCCTTCCTGATAGACTTCGGAGGGGATGCCATCCGAGCCATCTGAAGCAACTGGACATCAAGAAGCTGCGCAAAGAATCATCACGCTCAGCCAGATTTAATGGGATTTTTCTTAAGAAAAAAATGAACTAAGCCAGAAATTCTGAGAGAAAATCATCAAAATCGCACCCCTGTACATGTTCAATGGCCCGCTCACACTTTTTGCCGTCAAGGCCATTTGTGCGCATGCGTGCATAATTATGAATTTATTAGTGAAAAAGTCTATAATGTGAGAAAGGACCGGTATGTCTGTTTCCACCAGCGTCTCCAAAGTCTCCCATTGTTGAACGGGTCTATTGTTCGAATGCGTGCTCGAAAAAATAAAGTCTTACGTTAGCCTTTCCTTGTCCAGTTTGTATATGCATAATGGCGACATTAAGAACATTTAACAAAACAAAAACACGGTGCATTAAAAAAGGCCGTGTCCGAAACGGGCTTCCAGAGCTACGGCTAGGTCTATTGTCTGCGCGTCTCCACGTCCTTTCAATGGAGTGAAGACCTATAGACCTAGCTCTAAACAATGGATTCAGATGCAGCCTAATAATGAGCGTCCATTGTTTTTGCACCGCGCTTCTTCTAGATGTTCACAGTGTAATTACAAGATCCCATCGGATGAATAGTCAAGTTACGCCTTAATTTCAAGTTCCAGGGCTCCATATAACTCAATGTCTAGTGGGCGTGGTTTAAATTGAAATGACGTCGTACTTACGAACCGCAAAACCCCCTGCTGTAAGTGCTGTGGCCAAGGGAAACCGAAACGAGCGAATGTTTGATGGGCAAATAAGGTGGAATGGCCACGGATTAAATGCCCCAGTCGCAAAGATTTATCATGAGAGTCGATTGTGTATCCTGAAACTTATGTGCAAAAAATTCTCCACGGATATCAAATAAACAACACAGAAACTCGTGAATGCGCAGATTAGGGAATTAAACTTCTTTTTCCTAGCCTGCGTAACCGCTACACGGTAGTCACTCTTTTTTCTTGTTGTTGTTGTAAAAGCCCTCATCGTTTATTTACGTTCAACCATCTCAAACGCCAGACGTTGATTTGGTATGGAAGAAATACGAGGCGTGCAAGTTTGATTATATTGCAGGCAGCCCAAAAGGGCAAAAATCAAGAGGAACTGGTTTGCAATATGTCTTGGAGATGGATAAGATTACCGGTGGCTTATTATGTTTCCCGAGACCCGTTACTTCCCCACACTCCCTTCGACAGAGCCTTCGACGAGAGACAGGAACCACGTCAATCGCCACAGGCCGATTTGGAATTGAGGGCATGGGAGAGTTTCGGGATTGAAATTTAGAGGGGAAAGAGCAAAATCGGAAGACGAACTGTCGTTTCAAATTTGCCTTGACGATGGTTGACACTTTGTTTACCCTTGACTGCTTTTACGGAGAACCACCTCAAATGTTAGGGGTCGATTTTTGTTCTGGCAAATACTGGACCGCCTATCCGAGGAGCAGGGCACGTTGAATTGTTCCACTCTTCAAAAAAACTAGTTAGGACAAATGTATCAACGAAAACAAATCCACTCTTTGTAATTTATGAGGAAAAATCACCGCTCGTTCCCATTTTGGAAAGAATGGTAGAGACCTGCACTGCAAATAGTCTTATTCGCCCGTCGGCTTGGCATCGTTTGCACAAGTCAAGTGTGGGGTAAATTCTTTGCCCTCAGAGACGCGACATCGACAGACTGAGTACCAATATTTTCAAATATGTATCGAAAGTAGATGGCTTTACATATAGATTAATATTTTCCCAGGTCATTACCGATGACACTCATCGATCATTTACTTATTTAGTTTTTAACCGGAAGAGAAACCACCTCAAACGCCGCAGGTCGATTTAGGGATCCTGGCGATGAGAGCCATCCTAAATCGATTTTCCTCTCCCAGGTCCGAGCCCAGGGCTGGATTAAATGTTCCGTTCCCAGGTACCAGTGCTCCAGGTTTCGTAGATCATATTCCACCAATTTCCTGGTACTGGTTAGCGCTGGAGATTCGCATCTTGTGTTGATGTGTTCAACTGGCATAGGACATTGGCTATGAACAAGCTAGGTTCAAGCTTTCTCAAAATGGACAAATCAGAGAGACACTGAAACGCATGCGCGTGAATGTTTTTGCTGATGCCACACCACTGTAATTTTGAAGCCCTTCAAATCCCCCGTGTAGGCCCCCTAATCCTTCCATATGCTCTACGGCACAGTGCATGCCCTACCTATTGTTTATCCGGCCCTGTCCGCCCCATCTGGAAAAAAAAATCTGCTCTCGAACCGACTTATTGCTTTTTTTTCAACTCAACAAGTTGCTACAAATATTCTGACTGACACGTTCACCAACTACTTAATGAAAAACCCTCTCGATAGCAAGTCTAGTCTGGCCGTCTCAAACACCACAGGTGGATGTCGGTTCTGAGTCGCAGAGGATGCAATTACTGCTCTGTGGGAGTGTTTTTGTTGTTTGTTTGTTGGTTTGTTGGTTGGTTGGTTTGTCCATCCACTGAAAATTGCTGCCTCGTAATATAGCATTTCGTGCAGGTGCAGGCACTGGGAATGCATTTTATTGCATTTATCTAAGGGGCACACAGCCATCGAGTGGCCCACTGCCATCGAATGGCCCACGATGCCATGCTTGAAATAGTCTGCTTAGAGCAATTCCGACAACGTCTGGGTCAGAGGACTGTAACTTATTAAAATATCTTACAGTGTACGGAAAAATTAAGCAGATTTTTTTTTCACATCTGATCTAACGAGGGTTTGCAAGATTTCTTAATTCGACGGTGTGTTTCAGATGGTTCTAGGCCAAGCCCCTACATAGAAGTATAATAATAACCCAAAGCAATCAACTTAGCGACAATCTCGCCCTGTCTGAATAAAGAAATACAGTGCTTTGTCTATAGTAGGCTTCTTTCATACAAGACAGTAACCCACTTGCGCCTACAGTTTCCTTCAGCAAGTTAAACTGATTTGAATAAAGTCTGGTACACTGAGCTATCTGATTGCACATAAACAACAATTCGAATTCCCCCGGCTAAAGACACTGTTGCTATACACGTCGTTATACCCAGCAAGAAATGAGACCGAGGAGTACCCCCCCCCCACATGTCCAATCCCTATACACGTTCCAGACTATTGTTACTTAACACATACCCCCAAGATGTTTGAAAGGAATTCCCCAGATTCCTGCGAGACAATGACCAACACAAAGCGGGGGGGGTTCTCTCCGTCTCATACCTTGCTGCATATGAGTTTGAGATGATTCTTCGGTCAACCCACTGAGCAGAGTCAATGAGTGATTACACCACCACCCTCCATTAACTCCTCATTAATTGAAGACAATTTCTCTATCATCTTACCTTCAGCCCTGTCGTCAGCCTCGGGGTACACAGCACCAGATGGGGTGTCACAGGAACAACGGATGATTTTGATGCTTATGGTTTGGACCAATGGGGGCCAGGTGCTCGCCAGGGGAAGCCACCTCCCCCTCCCGGCGACGAGCCTACTTGGCTATTTCCCAAGCAAGATATCGACCGGGCGAATGCTGCAATTTCAAACTTAACTTTGGAATGGTTTTTGACGGCAAAGGTCTGTGTAACAAAGTTGCGGAGTGTCATAACGAAATAAAAAGGAACCACTCGTGATCTCGCCCATATTCAAGCGCTCACATTGCTTAGTACGTTACGGGGTGCCATTAAAATAATGCAAGTCAAAATTTCTCCGTCACGAAAACTCATGTACATAGTTAATGGTCTTGTGGTGGAAGTAAATTTCTTCTGAAACTGTGGTGAAGGGTGAGTTCCCTGCAAACAGAACCTAAGAGGGTAAGCAGCAAGCATCCTCGCGAAATTTCAGCTCATAAAACCTAGCGGATGGCAAGTGACATCAGAAAGAAAAAGTCTAATTAAGAGAGTAAGGCCAACTTTAGACTTTGAACGTAAAATAGTAGTTCCATATATCACCGAGCAAGGAAGTACTCTATGCGTGGTTATATGTGCAGTGCAGCATGCAGCTATTGTGCGTTAATTGTGCACGTGCACTGACGCACAATGCTCCATTTTGGCTGCAACTCAAGCCGCTCGCCCTGGATGCTCAGCTATAGTGACACCAACAAGACCAGTGAGATTGGCAAACTACACTGGTAATTTTTCCTGTTACATGTATTGTTAACCGGGGTGCCACGATTTGTTGTTGTTGTTGTTTTGTTTTAATGGCGCGTTCAGCAACCCAGACTATTTGCGCCAATAACTGTACGTTTATTTATACACTTTATTAATCAGCATCACATTACGGAGTTGGGAAGAAGGTCCAGTTTTAGAGGCAGGAGGAAACAGATGTACCCGGAGAAAACCTGCGAAAGCAATTACGGACTGGAAACCAAATGCACTTAAAGCCTGGGCCAAGCTGGGACTCGAACCCGGTCCTAATTGGTGCAAAGCGAGGAAAGAACCGCTACGCTAACCCGCTAACCCATTCCCACGATTTCGTGTTACCACTGTACTATAGCTCCCAGGTTACCAAATAAACGCCTTGAGTAAAGGCTAAGTCAATCTTTGCTATGATCATTAGTGTGCAATCGACCTATGGACGGTATTGGAAAAGAACATCAAACATCAACATGAGGTCAGGAGGTGGTTCTTTGTAGAGGGGTACCTGGCCTCGCGTAGTACGATATTCTTTTTTAGGCTGTTGTGGCCAGTGCCAAGAAGCACAGTATTGAAAATACGAGGTGAATATTTTCCTGTACCACGGTCTTTCATCATCACCATTCTCCTCCACCATTGTAAAAGCTGTGTGGTGGTATTCCACGCTGAACCGTCACTTGGAGTGTCATAAACCCCCCAAAATTAGGTAAGTTTGATAAAGGCCGGTGCGGGGCCTGTGCTGGGTGCCGCGATAGCAGATCTGCGCGATCGCCGGGCCGACCTTTGTGCTAGTAAGCAGTATGCAAGGTAGAGAACGAGAGACTGGTTTTTCAGAAAACGGTCGGTTTCATGGTCTAAAAACCACTATTGTGAAATTTTCAAGAGCTGTAAGTACCTCACGATTGCTCTCACAGGAAAATTTGAGAGTGTGGAATTTCAAGTGCGTCACCCGTAATACCTCAGTGGCTGGATTTAAACATGAAGACTTTATCCTGTTCCTTCCATGATTTAAACAACAGTGTTATGACCTCGTGTAAGTTAAAGAGCTTCAAGGCACGCAGAGGTGCCTTTTGGTTTGCAGAATTTATCCCCGCGTGCAGGTCGACTGAATGCACCCAACAGCGGTGATTATGTAATAGCTGCAGGCCTAGAGGTTTAGGAGGATTTTAGGCTTTGGCGACGAAAGGTTGTTCATGTGGTTTACATAAATACCTTCGTACATCATGAAAGGCACACAGATTAAAGTAGTTTGAACTTGTCTGAGTTTATGACACTCCAAAGTTAATGCTCCCAACAAAATTTTCTCCTAAACTTTTTCTGGCATAAATATTGGAGGTAGGATTACAGTAAAAGGTGGAGGAATAAAAACCCTGTTAGGCCACGGGCAAAATTCTGTACAAGGGCGAGAAATCAGCATTCGTCTTAACTTTTGGGTGTCATGTTTCAATGAAGTTGACTTGATTTGATAGTGCTGAATCCAACTATGCTTGTCCCCAAAAGTGTAGTCTGCACATTACCCGAAAAATGGCACGTTTTCAAGTTTTTGTCCATTTTTAGTCCAAAACCAATTTTTACCTTCCTCTTTTACAATTTTTGTGCAAATTCCAACCACCTTTGTAGAACGACACGCACATACATGTACGAAACATTCATTTAAATTCAAAATCATTTTATTTAGCCTTTGTTGTGTCTGACAAAAAGAAATATAAACAGAGAAAACAAAGACTGAAGTTATGGAAGTTATGTCATGTCAAAGGCTGCATAATCAGTGTAGCAAGTTTGCAGCAAGTTTTTTTTTTTACATTAAATTTTACATTATTTTTTAAAATAAATATTTCGGTTGTTTTTTTACTGCTATATATGCGCGTGTTATATTGCTCGATTAGGAATGACGTGAACTGTGGAGTTGAATTTGCAGGTTAAATTATCTTCTAGCACAAAATACTTGTTGGAAGCTGACAGAGACACTGTCCAAATTTCCAATATCAGTGCTGTGAAACAGGGAACTGGAATGAACTTGGTGAAGATACCAGCCCAACATTTTGAAGAGGAATTTAGGCCTTGCAGTCAGAATCACTGTCTGAAGTTTCATCCTCGTTCTCACTGTCGCTGTTTTCATATTGTTGAAATCTCTGAGTCCATTCAGGCAGTCACTGCATTTGCCCAGTTCGGTGCATGGAAGCTTTGCCTTGTGGCAAGAGCAATTGGTTGGATTCCAATGTGTGTTTTCTTGCATATACCGTGAACATTTTGTAGCATTTCAGCAGGAGCTGCAGCAATGGACACCCATTTGACATCCATCCATGATGTCGTGAATATACATGTATGTTTCGCTGTTATCCAGTCGCACTTTTTCACAGCCGGTAGAGAGCCAATACCATTATGGTGCAGACAAGAGGAGCAACTCCCGATGTGATACAAGAGGAATTTCTAATAGTTGCCCCTGTATATTATTTTTATTTGGCTCAGAGAAACAAATAATTCTGGAAACACAGAAACAGGAAAAAATTGCTTGATCAGGAATCTAACTCAAATCGATAAACTGCAAACTTTGCACTTTCCTTTGTGACTTAGATACAGATAAATTTATATCCTGTTGCAAGATATCAACTATACATGTACATCTGATACAACTTAGGCTAACTACCCACTGAACCGGTTGGAAAACCAGGAATCAATTGAGAGTAAAGATGGTCTATGAAGGGCTCTTCAATTCCACCATCCCTGACCGTGTCCACATGTTAAGAGGTGATTCGTAGGGTCCTGTTATAGTTACTAGGACTAGTGTCAACGTACATTAATGTGCAATTAGCAAATTACCCGCTTTGAAACGCGAGTGTGAAGCCACACCCTGATTCAGAGCAGAGCGGCCAGCTGCCCAAAGACTACGCCCCTTATCTTCTGGGAGACTTAAGTTAAAGGAGATCTCCATACTGGTTGTCGTTGCTATTGAGTTGTACATGTATGTGTAGCAGCCAGTGCTTTCTCCGGTTATTTTGTCAAAGTCCATGTTTATGACCCCCACGGGAATACTGGCTCGATCAGTGTTTGAAAAACTTGGATCCTCCGTTTTCTTGGGAGTGCAGATTCGTCATTGGACAGATTTCGTGATTTGTGTTTTCTCCACTTTATGATACATGCAGCTGTCGACTCCAAGGCCATTCAACATGAAACTGCGCTGGGGCATCTGCTCCGCGGGGAACATCAGCAACGACTTTGTCGTGGCGCTCTCCACCCTGCCTGCCGAGGACCACGCGGTGGTGGCCGTGGCTGCCCGGTCCAAAGAGGATGCGAGCAAGTTTGCCGAGAGGCACGGGATCCCTGTAGCCTACGGAGGCTACGAAGCCTTAGCTGAGGATGATAATGTCGGTACGCAGCTTCGCGCTTCACTTAAAAAAAACCCCAGAATTCTACTTTTTGCTGCCATTGCCAATGACTAATTACCAAGCAAACGTCCGAAACAAAACAGGGAATTTTGCTTAGTGACAAATGAATAACGCTAGCTTTTCATACATACTCCATTAATTGTACTTCTGTGCTTACAGGAAACCTTCCTGAATATTCCCAAATGCTTCATTGGATAGACGAACCAACTTGTGCAGTTTGCTTTGCTCCGCGTGTGGTGTTGAATTCAAGCACTGCACTGTGCAGGGCACTGGGCAAACATCAGTGTCGGGACTGTGTTGTTCCAGTACACAGCATATCCCTCTCACCCAACGGTCGACTGCTAAAATATGCAACAAAGCCCAAACCATTTTACAACCGTTGCACTCGGTAACACTCCCTGATTCTGAGGTCTCATTGGTTTTTATCGGCCATGAAAGTTCTCGATCCCTTCTCTGTATTCTGATAGGCCAGTCTCAAACTCAAGGCCGGTACGTCCAGCCAGGAGTACCTACGGATAAACAGGTTAAATATTCAAACTACCTACGGTATGCACCTGAAAGAATTTCTGACACATTCTGCTCTTTTCAAACTGTCTATTTGCAGACATTGTCTACATCGGTGCAGTGAACAATGTTCACCTTCCTCTCTGTAAGCTGTTTCTAGGGAAGGATAAAAACGTCCTCTGTGAGAAGCCTTTGGGTCTGAATAAGAGAGAGGTCCAAGAAATGGTCAATCTCGCCAGACAGAAGAATGTCTTTTTCATGGAGGTATTTATATATGAGCATCAACTCTAATTGTAAAAGTCTTGGAGACGATCTTTTTCAAATGTGAGAGGTTGGTGCGTCACGCACGCATTTTCAATTTCTGAAGTTAGCGTGGACGTTTTAAACCCGTATCAGACAGGCGTTCCAGAGTCGCGCTGAACCAAATTAGAAACAAATTTTGAATTAAGCTCGGCAAAGGTTCGACGTCTGAAACAATTTGCAGCGACCAGTTGTGCGAGCAGGCGAAAGATCGACACTCGAAGGAGATCGGAATGACACCAGAGCGACTTGGTGTCAGACGTCGCTCTTTCTATGAGCCGAGCCCGATGCAAAATGTATTTATTTGGTCCGTCTGAAACCAAAATTTACCCAGTGGGTCGACCCGAGTCGCTCTTCTGGCTCGACTCCAGACTCCTGTCTGAAACGGGTGTTACATGTACATGAGAACCCACTTGTTTACATAACATAAGAACTTGTTTATGATACATATTGCAGTTAAATATTGCAGCAAGCAAACGATCTGACCAGCAGTTTGTGTTGTGGTTTTTCCATCCGAGCCCTACTGGCAATCCGCTGACTTTGCTGATCGTTACTTTGTCAGTTTTTTGGGGGGACATTTCCAGGATACAAATTAGGGTCATTTTTATGTGAGTGAACTGTGGCCAGTACAACATTGTGGCTGGAAGATTTTCATTGTTAGGTAAACTTGGACCAAGTTGTGGAGACTATCAGTCCATAACACAGTGACAGGACATTGTCTCTTTGGAGAGATAGTGGGGGACTTTGGTGCGTCCCCACATTGTTCTAGGTCCTCAGAGTAACTGGTTTAAATAGTGTGTAGTACTCTTATCTGCTGAAGAAGTTTATGCATATATGCATATATACAGTTATAACTGTGTATACAATGTGTGTCAAAACACAGCAGATGTACTGTACAAGTTTTTTTTTCTGTATTTGGCGCCAAAGTTTTGATTTAGATCTATACACAATTCTGGTTTCGGTCGCTGATCTAGGGTTGGTGGACTCGTTTCTTCCCAGCCACTGCCAAACTGTGTGAGCTGCTAGATGCTGGCGTCATCGGCGACATAAAGGCTGTAAATGTATCGCTCGGCAAACCGATTTCTTCAGTCGAAAGATTGAGAAATAAAGGTACGGCTTCATTGTTTGGGTAAAAAGTGTTCATAATGTTCTCTTTCAGAGTTGCGTGTATGCACTGTGTTTGCAGCCCTGCTCGGCGAAGTAAGTCAAATATCGCGCATTTTAAATCCCAGCAATTATTAAATTACCATTTAAAAAGGAGGTTTTTGAAGAATGGGCTCAGTTGTTTCAGTTTAAAAACAACTAAGAAATTTCATTGTTGGTAGAAGACAAGAAAAGGGGATGTTTTTATGCTCATTCATAAGTGTGGCATATTTTCATTTGACAACTCAGCATAGTGAAAATGGAAAAGATATGTCCTCGGCAAGATTCGCAATACACCGTTTTAATGCCTTTTTCATTCAGACATCAGTCCGCTCAGGAAAAGTCAATATTGATATTTGAAGATCGAGGCTTATCAAAATGATTCAGTTGTACACGGTTCGCGAACACCTGGCAAAGGTGTGTGTTTACTGTTAACAAGATAAAACATCTTGGGAAGTTTCTTCACCTCCTGTTTTTCTTTGGGGGGATGTTTTTTTTTTCACTGCCAGATGTTGGAGGAGGTGCTGTGTTAGACTTGGGCGTCTACCCCATTCGAGAGGCACTCATGATATTTGGCGAGGCTCCTATATCGTGCACCAGTGCCGGTACCTTGACAGACTCGGGTGAGATTTCTTTCCAGATTGGGTCGTTTCTTTTTCGGCCTCTTGTTTGTTATGAGATGAAGCTTAGGAGATTTATTTGTGTCTTTTCGATGTAGACTGTTGGATGTGGGAAAGTTTGTGTTTAACCTGCATTTTTTTAGAAGTAGAGCTATAGTTAAGCCCATTTAGAGTCAGTCCAACAAGAATACCCAAAGAGATGATTTGCTAGTGTAGCCTGGAAAAATGACACAACGAACAAATCAAACTAAATCAACACAAAATCCTGAAGGTTGGGTGAACCTGTCTGCAATAACAAACCAAAATGATCGAATAATGGAAAAGTCGCGAGGAAAGCTAATAAATAGAGACAAATGACTGATATTGAGATCGCGTCAAAAGAAAAAAAATAATTCTTCACCTGAAGGTAAAAATAATGGGTCACAACGCAACAAAGTCTTAATCCAAGTTAACCAAATTCAAGTACAAACAGTGCGAATATAACTCATCAGGCCGCTGGAGCTCAGAGTAAAAATGACAAAGAGAATTGAGGATGACAAAAAAATTAAAATTGTTGTTTGATACAACACTCGCATTTCTAATCACTTAAAGCAGGCCTTATAGGCTACTTAACTTAAACTGGGTCGGTCAAGTTCCATCGGTGATCATTTACTGACCATGTTCTCACTGATAACCTGTACACAAAATGTACCCTGGGTACCAGCCCAAATCGACCAGTACTTGACTAATTGTCGCTCATAGCCTTGGTTTCGTAGCAGGTGGCATTCTTTCTGCCCCACCTTTTGTTAAGGTAAGATTGAGAACTTAAAAAGGACTTGGTTGAACTGTTGTTTGGCCACCTCCGATGATAAACACTTTCCGTGGTGTTATTTCACGCAGGTGTTGATGAAACAACCGTTACCACTTTGATATTTCCCGGCAAGGCCGTGGCAACATTGAACACCAGCATGGTGGTTGAGCTTGCCAATGAGGCCCAGATTAGAGGTGCAAAGGGTTATATCAAGGTAATTCACTCGATACATTGCAGTTATACGCAACCATAATTATAAAGGCTAATTTAAGGAAAAGGTTAAACTCTTCCACAGATATAGTGCCAATTGAGAGGACTATTTCGTTTATATTTTTAAGGAAAGTTGAGATTGATAACCTGTTTGTTCCCAACAATATCTGTATTTCAACACGCGTGTACGTCCCCACAACAAAATAAAAAATAATGCAGTTGTCCTTTAGTAGTTGAGTATTAGTTTTGAGTCAGTTATGACTCATATATGAGTCACATGTCAATTGTTTGTTACTTCATGTATATGATGAGGTGGTTGCTGAAAAATATGAGAATGTGAGTCTGAGTCCTATGTGAGTAATTGACGTGTCTAATGATGTACCAAATGTGACAAAGTGGACTTTGGCTCGGACTCAAGTTAGGGTTGCGTACACTCACTGACAGTCACTGAAAATGTACCAGGCTGAGAATTAGGGTGTTTCAGACGGAGGTATCAACTCACTCTCTTTCGCAGTGAGCTGTCTGAGAAACATGATGATCTAAACACCATACATGTATCCGGTTCGTAAGTGACTTTGTCACAAAGGCGGACGCGCCACAATTTGCAGGCTCCCATTGGACGATCGCTGAAGTTGCGCGTTAACTTCCGGTTCTCCATGTAAACTGTGATCAATGCATGTAACTCTATGTGCAGTGGGCGTGGTTAAACTGGAGTGACGTCACACTTACGAACCGTATACGCATTCCATTCACTTCATGCACAGTGTCTCCTGAAGTTGGCAGAGCCATATTTTACCACAGTGCAACTGTAAAACCCGCAGACCAGACCAGAAAAAAATGTCTAATTTTGTCTTTCATTATGTAATTCTTGTCTGGAGTAACTTTGGAAATGCCTCAAACGTTGTGCGGCCAAGCATGGCGAACATGTACCCTCCATCTGAATTCTGGTCCATACTATCCCATTACTGCAGGTCCATTCTCCATTTTGGTGCCCTTCAAAGATTGAGGTGACGGCTGTCATGGGCGGGGCCGAACATGAAGTCGTCAAACTGACGGAGGTAGATCTGAAAACCGAGGTGTATGAGTTTTGCCATCCAAAAGCTGAAAAGCGCACGTTCTTTGTGAACAGCGCAGGGCTCCGATACGAAGCAGAGTGTGCACGCCAGTGTCTCATGAAAGGTGAACTAGGGCATGTACTGTTTAAAAAACTCACTTTTCTCCATAACAATTTCAAATCTCAAAGAGTCCTTTTTTATTTGTCTTTCCATATTTTGGCAAGTGACACGGCATGGAATAATTATGATACAGATGAAGCACAGAGAACATTAATTTGGCGTTGTCCATATCAGCTGGCTGAGGCTAGGTCTAATGCACGCATCTATATGAGAAGTGACCGCTGCTACTTGCGAGCTGCTTCCATCAGTTTATATGTATTGCTTGGCCACAGCCATTACCTCTGAACATAGTCTTACGCATGAACTCATGCCAACAAGATTATTACGTGTTTAAGACACGTAGTTCAAGATGCACTCAATATCACAATAGTCAATAAATATGTAGATTTTCCTCTAAGCTAATTGAATTATCTCAAACATTTTCAACATTCCCTTGGATTTCTGTTGTCCACTTTACTTTTACTTTTTATAAAAAACGTGGCTTCAATTGTAATCAACAGGTTTGAAGGAGTGTCCAACTGTCTCCCTAGATGAGAGTTTGTTGGCAGCCGAGATCCTGGACAAAGCCCGCTGGGATGTTGGTTATAGACTACCTGCCGATGACCTTTGAGAAAGAACCTACTAAGTCTGGCTGTTGTCAGCCACATCAGTCACCTGTTCTGTTGAACTGAGATATGAACAGTCTGCTAAGGCTTGCGCTTCAGATTCAAAAGTTACTACATGTACTTCAAGATAGCAGGGAATCCATGATTGCTACTTCGGGGAAAGAAATATATTGGATTTTGTTGGCACTTTTTTATTCAAAATAAAGTCTATTGTATTCAGCCGCTATTAAATCAGTTCATTTAACAACAATAATCATTTAAATGTTGCACTTCTTGCCTCAATCAAAGAGGTTTTAAAACAGATCAGCTATGTACAATTTTCTTGAATGGCCAAATTGCTTCTGTGAGAGAAGAGTTATTCCGTGTGACATGCCACGGAAACATCAGCTATGCACAATTTTCCTGAATAGCCAAATTGCCTCTGTGACAGAAAAGTTATTCCATTTGACATGCCAAG